TCCTGATGCAAAACGGGGAACATCTTGGTGAATGATTCATAGAATTGGATGATGGGAAAATTTACAGGAAAGCCCTATATTTGATGGTAAAAACCATGGTTTCCTGTAGATTTTCCCTTAAACCAATCCATTGAATGATAAGTCACTGGGAATTATCTTGTGCAGCCCGAGGGAAACATCTTTCAAAGCTATTGTTTGAGGTTCCATGTCTGTATTCAGGGGTGAATGTCGAAGTACTTCTCTGCTTTGGTCGTGGAGACAGTTGATGGACCAGCGATACCAGCGACAGAGAGCCCAAACAATACCAGTTAGGTGAACAAACGAGTTGAATGGTATTCTTTCACACTCACCAGTTTAACAATACCAGTTTTGGTGGACAAACGAGTTGAATGATATTGTTTCACGCTCACCAGGGTCAAAACCTTGAAAAATAACCTTGGCATAGTCCTTCTACCATTTATGAAGATCAGATCGAGATGTATTTTCAAATTGGAGAGCCGCCACAAATGCCTCTAATGCCTTTTCAAAACTAGCATGGACTTTCACTGGGGATGGCCATGTTTGGGTCATGCTGCTGCCAAAAACTCCACATCCACTGGCATGCCACATCAAGTATGATCGTTTTCCAACCTCGGCAGCTGTAGATCGTGCTCTTATTCGTGCCTTTTCGGTGGGCTTCGCTGGCGATGACCTGCAGAAAAAGGGGTCTTGGACGGTTTTGGGGTGCCAAGGGACTAGTCAGCCAGGTTCCAGCAATGGTTTTTTCAAAACAGGCAATGGGAAATCATGAAAATGGTGATTTATAGTGGATTTTCCCATTAAGAATGGTGATTTTCCATAGTTATGTTAGTTTACCAGTGGGATTTTTTCTGGGATTTTTACTGATTTTTGGAGGAACGGTCATCAACTGGGGACTTTTCAGTGCCAGGTGGCTGGTGAGCGATCACTACGGCTACCTGGTAGGCTACCATCCTAATCAGATCATCACTGGGTACCAAGAGTCTATGATACCCATCAATGATTGCAATATGGTTTGGCCTTGGCCCCGAGCCTCTCAAAATTCGCCCTTGGGAGTGGCAGGCTTACTTTTGCAGATTTGGTGAGCTCTCGGATTGCTATGTGGGCTCCCCAGAGCCGCTGAAGCATGAAATCATGGGGTTGGAATTTGGAAGATTATTTTCCTGCCGAAGAAGTCAGCCAACTTCATCTCACTGATTCTGAATAGCTGGAGCCATCACTGGACAACTGGGACCTGGTTTGGGAGACAATTTGAATCCAAAACAGCCGCCTCAACCAAGAGAATTTCGTCAAGTCTATAGGATACAGAAGGTTCATGCATTTTTTTTTTGGGTACTCAATTTTGGATTATTTTGAGTCATATCGGTTAAATCCCATTTGCCACTGGCCTCATTGGCAGATACGTAGACAAGATCTTTCTTTGGACGCAACCCACCAATTCTGGTCAGAGGTGCTAAGGATTATTTCAAGGTGAACGTGCGCGTATGTATATAGCTATATATATATAATATAATATAATATATATATATATATATCCACAACAAGAGTAAATAGATACATACATAAACACATAAATAAATAAGCAAACAATAAACAAATCTATATAAGATTTCCACTTATCCATTCCCTGCTTTTTTCAGGTTGGCTTCTTCATTTCATGTTTGCAGGAACGCTTTCCCCCAGGAGTTCCCTTGGACGGTGCTGGAACCATTCAACAAAGCCCACCACTTGTCAATCCTGAGCAGAAGGGCAATCCCTTAACCACACATATCAATATTTGGGCACTTGGACAGCTATGCCGCGCTTTGTCCCAAGAAATACCTGGAAGGCCATGAAAGGTAGCTGACCATTTGTTGGGGTCACTCTTACATGCATCGCAAACTGACTTGAGGTGCCCCCAGGCAACAAGGGCATTGCCTTTGTGAGCTACAAGGATCCGAACAATGCCGGAAACCCAAGAGTGACAATAGGAAATCAGCGGATCTTAAGCCCAGAATAAGGGGTACGGCGCCCAGAATAATATGACAAACCAATAGGTTTGGGGGGTTAGACATGACTCAAAAACTTGGGACATTTCCATGCATTTCCTCAAAAAGCAATTCAGAATGGGGTGAAATTGGTCAGAATATTCTACCAACATCAAATTTATCTTATCCCATCATTTCCATTGTCCCTTGCCCAGTCATCCTGATCCCAACAGAATCACAGCCGATTTTTAGATTTTTAAGGCATCCTCGGTAGTGGCGAACCAGCAGCACGAGGTCAAGCCGGGCCCTCAGATAGCGGGACGGACGGATGGATGGATACACAACATTTTCCTCAAGGATATGTCGAGGAGCCTTGACCGATGGGAGCTCGTTCGCATGGCCCTGCCATGACCATACTTTCAGGCCTGGCCAGACCGTCATCGCTGCCCCAGCCTTTGACAGACCCACGTCACTGGGGCTGCAGGGAACCGCTGGGTTCATGGCAATATTTCCCCCCAAAAAATGGTTGCTGCCACCCAAACCCAAATTACTGCACGTCCTATCACAGGTTTTGACCATCCGAATTGGGTTCAACAGACGGGCATGGCTTTTACCATCTAATCCTCCCCATAAAAGTTTCTTATGACTTTTCCATCCTTCAGACTTTGAGCAGAGGGTGCCTCCATGGCCCCAATCATGGAACGAGCCCTTAGACCAACACACCATGCGGCTCGCTGCAACAGTTCCACATGAGAGATTCAATACCTACGCGGCCATGCTAGCTAGATGGAAGTACATATACAGACTTAGATGTTTGAAGTTTTGGACATGCCACCACACTGCTCGCGGTATTTCGCAAAAACCCCTTTGGGGCCCCAAAGGACCCACCAGAGCGGCTGGCACTGAGGCCTAACAAAGGAGGAGAGTCTTTGCAGCTACCTTGCTTGAAGTGCAAGGGTTGAGATGGCTCACTTTCACAGGTTAGGGTACCCACCATTCAGGCAATGGACAATCCTCCTTTTACATGCAATGTTCCTTTTAAACAGAATGATTTCTCATTGCAATGCACGGCTCAGCAGGAGGCAAGGGTGGCTGTGCTGTGGCAGCTTGCGGTGAAGGCCTAAGGTTTGCGATCCACTCACCAAGTGGTAAGCCATGACCCTGACTTCAATTTTTGGCCCGGCCCAGTGACTGTCAACTGTCAAGATGCAATCCTTCCAGATCCTTCTGACTAGATGGCTTTGACCCAGGCCCTGGCTGTGGCTGTTGCGGTTGTGGCGCCTGCGGCGGCTGCTGCGGTGGCTGCTGTGACCCCTGCGGCGGTTGCTGTGCGGGTTGCTGCGACCCATGTGGAGGCTGCTGCGGCGGCTGCTGCGGCTGCGGCTGCGGTGGCTGCTGCGGATGCGGCGGTTGCCATCGGGCTGCAGTGTGGAATGGTCTACTTCGATATTGGGCTTTGGGTCAGAATTTGGAACAGGGAACAACAAAAGTCGTCATATTTGTACTTTTCCCCCCCAAAAAAACTGAATACGTTTCGAAATGCGGACAAGCCCGCGCGAGCCCCGAGATAAACTACGGTTGACTGACGTTTCTTTTTTGTTTTTTTCTTGTGCAAGTGACTTTTGAACAATGCTCTAGTTGGCCCGACTCTATTAACTCTAGTCTCTAGTCTTGATATTTCTTGACTTGCAGGCTTTGCCAAATGAATCACGTTCAGTACGGGATGTTGTGAAAGCCATAGCTAGGCATCCCAATCTCAACAGTTTATACTTTAAACTTTAACAAACTAGAATTGCGATACCCGCACCCCAGCAACTGTGCAAAGATCCTCCCTCTCCCCCTCCTCATCATCATGATCACCATCGCGATCAATACATAGATTTACAGATGCATATCCAAATACAATCAAATACATATACATACGCATATACACACAAACACAATACAAGAACATATGCATACACTTATGTATATACATAAGCATATGCATGTAATATACATGATTATACATAAACATTTGCATATAATATACATATACCAAAGCACATGCATATTTTTTGAGAATGGAGTGTAGGCTACGGATTACTACACACTCCAATATAGTTCAGCTCTTAATTGTCCACCGCCAAGGGATGCATCAATCTGCTCCTTTGGCTCAAGATTACTGCAGGTGCCAAAGAGAAAACGCCGCCGTGCTGAAACTGCAATTCCCGTGTCATCGTTGTTGAGAACATCAACCTCAAGACCAAACGATAGCACATAATCGGGGAGATAACCTCCGATTCACAGGTTATCAGCCGTAGGACTCCTACGGAGCCTACGAGCGGGTAGCCGCGGGCCTTACAGATGACTGAACAGGATAGCAGCGATAATGCATTTTCTTTCTCTGGACATGCCGTTGCACCAGCTGCCGGCACGCAGTCAAATTCTTCACAGAGTATCGACACTGGTGGAAGCGATGCCTCAGAACTGAGAACAAGCCTACCCAGGCGACCTCTGGTTGCTCCTAGAGGGAGACAAATTTCGACAATGCAAGCAATTGAAGATAGGGACAGCACACCTGGAAAGAGAAGATCATCTGCACGACAATTGTCGCCTCCGATGACTCCAAGGACTAAGGCAAAGACTACGTCGTCGAATCCGCCTTCACCGATTCAGGACGCTACTCCATCAGGGACAGGATCTTATCAGCAAGTGAACGCCCCATCAAGTGGTAGCGACATCTTCACTGCCTATCAGAGCGAATTAGCTGAATACAAAACATCACTGGAAAAGGCTACTGAAGAAGAATCCGTACTTCAGGCAAGATTGACTGAGACGACAGCTTATGCCTATCAACAATTTAATTTCCTGGAAAGCACCACTCATCAAGAGATGATGTCGATGACCGAACAACTCCAGATGCTGAACTTCGAGTTACAGGCTGCACAACAAGAAGATGAAGGTGCGACCTACAGGATCGAAGAGTTGGAAAGGTATCAGACTATGTCGAATGAAGCTGCATCTCATTTGGAATTCAAATATTCACGACTACGGTCGGAATTCGATGAACAAATGGGGCAAGCGAGCGCAATTATGGTACATGTGGGCGCCGATGCGAATGCTCACATCAATCAACTTAGACTGGAACTGGAAAACGCAGAGATGAATGCCAAGCAGGAAGCTCTAGCGGTCGGCTACGCCAAGGATCAAACATGTGCTTTACAGATCGAAATGCTCGAGGTTGCCAATCAAAACCAGACAATGAAGCACACCATGGCCATGAACGTTAGACGACTGGAAACTGAACTCGATGCTGCTGACATGAAGAGGGACGAGATCATGAAGGAGTTCCGTAGTAACATAAGATCTGAACATGACCGTTATGCAGAATGTGAACATCATTTGGCTTTGGAAGAATCACAACTTCGACTGCAGGTGATTCACAATGAGAGCTTACAATCTCGACTAGTGATTTCTGAGAGCAAGGTTTCTGAAGAATCTCTAGCTGAATCAAGTGGCATGCGGGACATGAGGATAATGGGACTACGTTCGGAACTACACATGAAACAAAGTCTTTTAGATCGAATGCAACAACAACTGACTGAATCGAAGAATCAATATCATGAACTTTCCTGTCAACAAGCCAGAAGATCCTCACCAAGCAGATCACCGCATGGAGGACCATTATACGAGATGTATATGCAAGCCGTGCGTGAGCGTGATAGCTTGAAGGAATCCAAGGCTGAAGTTGACAAGTTGTACTTACAAAACAGAACTGAACTCATTGACACTGAGAACCTGCTCAAAACCTTCCAGCAACATTTCGATGAAACTGGTAAGAAGTATCAAGATGCTCTGAACAAGATCGATCACATGAGTAGCAATCCGAATGTGACGGGTAACTTGTTCGACAATTTGCACAATGAAATCAACGACAGGGATACAGCCATTGCTCGCCTTCATACTGAACTTGAAGCTCAAAAGGACTCTCTTGAGCGTGCTCACAGGGATGCAGGTAAGTCCATCAAGATGTTGAACGACAGAAGACTCGTGATCAAAGGTGCGACTGACTATTCCATTGAAATTGACTGGATTCCAGAGTCCAAATGGCTCAAATCCAGATTTCAGCCGTTCGTGTTTCCTGGGACACTCTCAGTCTCTCTAGTTCAGATCTGGAGTTCAGCTGTCCCTGGATGTTGTTAGATTCAGTCAGAGTCGTAATCTGGATTTAAGCTCTTCTTTGCAACAAGTTCTTTCTTGTGGGGCTTGACTTCAGTGTTCATCTTTGCTGTGTTTTAAATGGTTTCGTGGCTGCAACTTTAGATTTCAGCTTTCTCATGGCTATCAATTCTGTTAGTCCTGAAGATACAACTTGGATTTCAGCTCCTTCGTGTTTGTTATTTGAGAAGCTTAAATCAGAAGGACATCTGTTTGACTGGGTCACTGGAGGTTGGGCGTGGAAGCTGCTTTTGAGATTTCAGCTGTTACGTATTTGCATTGTTGCTCAAGTCTTTTTGGCTTTTCCCCAAGGGAACGGTGCATCATGTTATATAGAAGAGGCATTTTGCCTTTGAGTGGACATCCGCCATGTGAGCAGAGTGAACCAGTGGCAAATGCAGCTCAGCCTGAGCAGAGTGAACCAGTGGCAAATGCAGCTCAACCTGAGCAGAGTGAACCAGTGGCAAATGCAGCTCAACTTGAGCAGAGTGAACCAGTGGCGGATGAGCTGAATGAACCAGTGGCTGAGCAGAGAGCTGCAAAGGCCAGGAGTAAAAATAAAGGCGGCGGCAAACGGAAAGAGTGGAAAGAGATTGGCATTGAGACAGTGGAGGCCAAGGAATCTTTGCGAGAAGCCGCTCGCCGGTGGCTGGCTGAAAAGAAGATTATACATCGTCCACTTAGCACCTCAAGTAACAATGGCAAAGCTTGCATCTTGAGCAAGTGTGGTCAGTGTTTGAATTGCACCCGCCAGTGGTGCTTCAGTTTCAAGACCCTGGAAGAGCTGTTGATTGAGCGTTGTGGTGAATGTACCCAGGAGAAGGACGGTGGCGATGTTTGTCCAAGCAGGTTTTGATTGCCAACCTATATAATGCCACTTTATTCGTTGGTGTTTTACCCCATTTAACGCAATAATTTACTCCATTGAACGTAACGATAGCGTAATAAATTTCTATAGTCAACGTAACAATAAAGTAGCAATTAACCACCTTGTACGTATTAACAACGTAATACTTGTCCCCCACTTATATAATATCATGATAATGAACCCCCATGCCACATTTAACGTAACAATAACGCAATACTTTACCCCATGTAATGTAATAATAACGTAATAGTTATCTCACATTTAATGTAATGATAATGTAACAAAAAAGTAAGAATACATAAAGCATGGTAACCAGAGCTATCATGCTTCATATGTTTCTGCATGTGGCCTAGGACGTGAAGCGACTGCAGAAGCATTTTGCCAAAGTCTATAGCAAGAGCCATTCTCCAGGCAAAGCGTTGTTAGAGATGACCACAGATGGAGTTCCACAGGAGCTTCGGCCGTCGGCAAGGCAACTGAAGAATATGCGCCCTTGTCAGCAATCTAAAGCATTGCAGGGTATCAGTGTGGATTCCATTGGCCAGCTGCAAGTTTTTTTGGAGAAGCCGCCTGAGTGCATCAGGGTTTACACGGAGCATGTGATTTGTGATCCGGCTCGAGTCTGCATTCCTTTTTCTTGCAATGCCTTGGATGATTTGCTGGCAGATGTTCATCTGACATGTTGGGTCTGTGATTTTACCTTCAAAGTCAGTGCAGAAGGGCTTTGTCTAGGCTGCATAGGTCCGCTAGGCTTGGTATTGTCAGAGTCTGGTCCGACTATGAGGATGATTCCGGCATTCTTCGTTGTGTGCAATGCAGAAGACGAAGAGTCGACTGAGGTGGCACTTCGTTTGTTTTTCGATTCCATGCGTGCTCGAGGTGTGGAGCTCACGGACGGATTTTGTGATTGCGCATGCTTGCAGGCCAGTTTGCAATTTTTGAGGAAGGAAGGTTACCGAGTGTACATGCACCGGTGCCTTCAGCATGTGAAGACAAACGTCAAAGATGCTGCAGGGAAGCATGATCGGATCCATGGGCGAACCCGATTGGAGAACAAAGAGCTTTTGAGTTTCTTTGTGCAATGGCTGGAATTTTCAGCTTTTCTGTGCGATGACATTCAATTCCACACCTTTTGGACATCAATTCTCCAGAGAATGTCTGCAAACGAAGTGGAAACTGATTTCAACGAGCCAGTGATGGCGGAGTATTTGCAGCGGAATATATTCGACTGCTCAGGTTGGGGATCCTGTTGAGTTGTTGAAATGACGGCATATGTGTTCATTGAGGTTCAAGAAATGTGCGCTATTGGGTTTGGATGATAGATAGACTGTGACTTTCTTGTGAAGCTGACTCTAGATTTTGCTTGACCCCCGGCTTGGAAATTGTAGTAAGTCCATGATGTAGTTTTCAAACACGCACATCACAAACTTTTTGCAGCGGACTTCACAAGGGTCAGTTTCCCATATGGATTTGTCATTGGAGTACGTACTTCCCTGCAGGACCCTTGCTTCGTGCTTCGTGGCAGAGCGGCTTGGGCGCTGTACCCTCTGGCTATACCACGTTTGCGCCAAACGCTTTGGAATCTCATCACAGGGCGCTGAAGAGGCTGCTTTCTGGGAAGTCTGCTCATCGCAACATCGGCCAGTTGCTGCAGGAGGTTGGTGATGTAATCACTTCAAAGGCGCAAAGTGGCTTCTACAAAGGCTTGCGCCAATCTGTGGAAGAAGTGCCGAAGAATTTGTTTCATTGGCCGAAGAAGAGGCACCAACGCCTTCTCCCTGCTGGAAACGATGAAGATGAGGAAACAAAGTCTTTGCAGGCAGGCCTTTCGAAGTTCCACAATGGGTTTGTGTATGAGACAGGGTTAGAAACCTTTCAATGTGTTCAGGAACGCCGGGGTCAAAACAATGTCATTCCTTGATTTATCATTCCCTGATCTTGCACGATCCTTTACTAATGACATTGCGCCAGTCATTCCTGCAAGGTGAAACGCCTGGACCGAGCAGCTCTTCTTGCACATTATAGAGAGAAAGGCCCGCGTGGCACGTACGTGGCTTCGACATGTAAGCATCTTCTCGCGTCTGGTGATATGGCTGTTTTGGTTTATGTGATGCCGAAACATAAGCTACACTTAGCAACGCAAAGGCCAGCCGACATGATGGCGGCATTGAACTTGTCACTGGCAACCACGGAGATGGAAGTGCAGTCCGCTTGTAAGCACCCTGTTTCTGGCTGTTATGACATCATGAGACACCAGTACTTGGCGCAGACATTCACTGCGGTCTTTTGCACTTCTGACAAGCAACTCTTTGATGTACACAAGGACTTCCAAGTCTATGGTGGCCACACGGAACACACGCTCTTTGTTGCAGGCATTTTGGATTCTGGCAACTCCATTGCCGCTATTCCGAAAGGACCGAAGCATAGCCAACCATCGAAACCGAAGAGGAAGGCCAGAAAGATGCAGCATTTCGTAACACACTGTTGTGTGGTTTCCTGACTCACATGATGGAAAATAATGTACTTAAAAAGACAAAATGAGGTGGTCTATCTGTTTGTATGTGAAAGGTTGCTACTTTGCCCTTCCGCAGGCCCAGCCGAAGAAGTCCGAGAAGACAAAGCGCATGCTCAAAGCGCCTCAGAAGAGGCCTGGTGATTCGGTGGTGCTTATGACAGAGGTCCCTGCAAAAGCCGAAGCCTATCTGCCGGGTTTGCCGGCCGATGGAGATCAGCCAGCGCACAGTCATTTCGCTGGCGCAGATGACTTGGACGATCTTCTTTGCTTGGCCAACTTGGTCAAAGGTGGAAGATGCAAGCGTGTCCGGAGCCATGGCAACTTCTGCAAGCAACATGCGCATGAAATGAAGAAACCAGAGCGCATGGAGGCTTCTTGGAGGTCATTACAAACGGCTGTGGAGAAAGCTTCGGGCAGATTCGATGAGCAGCAGCTCAACATGGCAATACACCTGTCACTGGAAGAGAACGAAGCCGCAAAAGCCAAACGACAGGCAAGCATCGCAGCACTCAAACCTCGCCTCGATGCTCTCGGGCTCCAACGAATAGACACTGAGGCACATGGTGATTGCCAGTTTCTGGCAGTGGTCTTCAGTGCTGGATTGCCGGTTGATCCTCAAGATTTCAGAAGCCAAATTGTCGGTTATTTGAAGCACTGCGCTTGTCACTTTGAAGACAAAATCTCTTCACACTTCCGATCTTTCCAACAGTATTTGGAAAATATGGCACGCCCCCACACCTGGGGTGATGAGTTAACCCTGTGCGCGGCTTCGCACCTACTCTTGCGCCCAGTTGTGGTACTCAGTGATCAGGCGCATGAAAAAGAAAGACGCTTCGAGCCCCCACCGCTAATTCACTCCTCGGTCTGGGGACCTGAAGTCTACATAGTCCACTTAAACAACAACCACTACGAGGCTACGTGCCCACTGGCAAAGCCACGCACGAAGCAGGAACATGTGAAGCGTGAACCGGGCAACCGCTAGCGACTGTTGAAAAAGCCCGCTTGCCGAATGTATCCTTTCTGTTGCGTCGCCACATAAGGAATAGATTAAATCCAGAAACAATCTGTTTCATCAGATGTGCCTGTGTTGCAAGGAGCTTGAATCTGATACCAACCGCATTCAAACACACTCATCACAGACAGGCCATAGGAAAGGCTTAAATCTGGAGTTGACCCTTTCTTGGCTCCAAAATCCAGCCAATCCCCTATTCCATTCCTGAAAGCCACTTGACCGAGATGCATCAATTGGCTAATGAGCGTTTTGCTGAGGTAGAAGAGATGTCAAGCACCATTGCTGCCCTGAAGTTGGAAAACCAGGCTCATTCTTCTTCATCATTGAATAGACCGACTACATTACATGGGTACCCCAGTAATGCTATGCCTCGGAATGAATGTGAAGAGAAGTGTGCCAAACTGAAAGCAGAGTTGGACGAGATGAAGCAAGAGAAGAACGTTGAAGTTCGAAATCTTCAAGATGAGTTGAAGAAGATGGAAGATCGGAAAGATTATTACAAGAATAATTTCTCTCAAGCTGAAGATCGTGCCAATGATGAAGAGCAGGAATACTGAGCAGAAGCTGAAGCCTTCAAAAAGCTCAGGAACGAGTACAACACAAATGTCAAGGAGTTGGAGAACCTTGAGAGGGATAGATCCAAGTCATCCGTATCTCTAAGAGAAGCCGAAAAGATCAGCCTCCAACCCTGGCCTAAGACCACTGAACTTTCATCCTGGAAGGGAAGTGTTGTTCATGAAGTTTGTGTTGCAAGTGGAGATCGAAACTATGAAGATTGGAAAGCGTGGCTAGCTCCGTGTCTTGCAGATCAACCTGACTTGGAGGCCCTGGCCAAAGCACCCGATGTGAGATTCCAATCCATTGATGCCAAGCTCTCCAATGCCTTGAGGAAAGTCATTGACAATGCTGGGGACAAGTCCATGCAAGTGAAGTATGACATGTCCATGAAGAACCAATTGTATGGGAGAAGTGGGGACTTCATCAAGGGACGAGAACTATTCGCAATGATACTGATTAGCTTCAAGTCACCTGACCACACTGAAGTTCTCTACAACGCCCATCATTTGTATATGTTCAACTACTATGGAGATGACCAGCTTGAGGCCTTCTACAACAAGTGGCTTGACATCGTATACAATATGAAACATGATGATCTGCCTTCCAACAATTCCCTGCGTGACACATTGTTCCGGAAGATTGAACACTCAAAGCTTATGGCCTTTGATATCAACCGATACAAAACCTTTGATGAAGGGCATCCTGAGAAGACCTATGTTTACCTAACTGGTATGATCAAAGGATACATAGCAAGAGGAAAACAGGAACGACTGTTGAAAGATAGAGAACGTGCAGTGAAACTGTCACTGTCCTCTAACAAGACAACACCTGCTATGGAAGATGCCGACAAGCCTGCTGCTCCCGTTAAGACCAAGAAGGAGAATGAAGCAGCTGCATCTTCTACAGGTGATCCTCCCAAACGACCTAAGGCAAAGGCGAAGAGTGAAGCTGCATCGGTACTTCCAACGCCTTCTCCGAAATCACATGCCGACAAGAACAACAAGAAAGGCAAAGGTGGGAAGGGAAGATCATCTTCACCCGTTGACAAGAAGAAGATTTTCTGTAACTACTTCTTCAATAAAGGAGGATGCAACAAAGGTGACAAATGTCTTTACAGTCATTCTCAGAAGGTCTATGATGCCAAGATGAAAGGTAAGAAAGGCAGAAGCGGAAGCCGAGATTCATCAAGAGGGAAAAGTAGAGGAAGTTCATCTTCAGCTGGGCCCAAGAAGAAGATATGTTGGAACTGGCAAAAGGGTACCTGCATGTTCGGAAGCAAATGTAAATTCCTACATGCAGATCAATCGCCTTCAGCATCTTCAGAAAGAACCAGAAAGAGAACACCAAAGAAGAAAGCAACTCCCATTACCATTGACTCCTTCTTTGATAGCGACAATGAAGATTCTATGGATTATACCTCACCGAGGATAGCCAGCGCAAAGAAGTCTTCTGATGATCGCAGGATCTCTTTCGAACTGGAACCTGAAGTGCACGAGATTGCCATTGAGAACTACCAGGAGGGATTGCCCAAGCGTATGTATCGTGACCCCAACAAGCCGTATGTCTTCTGGAAGGTCGATGATCTGACCGACGATCAGTCCAAGTCCGACAACACCCTCGGTTCAGTCCGAGCACGGGCCAAGGTTATCATCATGGACAGATGTGGACTCCATCGTTTTGTTGATGAAGTTAGAATCATCATTGGCCCCAAGTTCGACATGTTGATCAAGCTGGACGATGATCATGATGACTTGACTTTCATTGAAGAGCTTGTTGAACACGAAGTTGGAAAATCCCTTATGAAGTCCAAGAACTTGATGTGCATTTCACTACCAGTACAAGCCAAAGATCGAAGATTCATCCTGGATTCTGGCAGCGGACACGATCTGATTTCCGCAAGGAAAGCCGAAAGGATGAACTTGAAGCAACGAACTTGTGATCCTATCATGTTCCACACCGCCAACGGTTCAACCGCTACCCAAACAGAAGCGGAGATTGACCTGGGAACCTTTGATGTGACATCTCATGCTTATGTACTGGACGACACTCCGTCTGTGATGTCTCTTGGGAAACGATGCATGGAAGAAGGATATTCCTTTGTATGGCCATCTGGTCAAATGCCATTCATGATTACGAAGGATGGAGAACGCATAGATCTGACAATCCACGACAATATCCCCTATGTTGATCTTGGGACATACGAATGCACTCCTCATGAATGTCATCATGCATCGAAGATCCATGACCTATTGACACATTCTCAAGTTGGATTCAACGATCTCAACGATATTGATGATGTTGGTCAACCATCACGAAGAGTACACCTCGATGGAGAAAGTGGTCTTGAGACATCGACTGAGAACCACAATTGTTCCCGATACGTCAAGAAGCTCAAGAAGAAGAAGAAGAGGAGAGCAATGAACCGGCAGAAACATTCGGCAACCCCTGGAGAAGAAGAAGAACCACCTGAAGACGGCGAATATGAACCTGGAACTCCGTTTGGCGGACCTCCTGGTGACGAGACTGACTTTGAAGATGATGGTCATGGTGCTCCTGAAGACGCCGCTGAAGGTGATGAAGATGACATTGAGATCGATGTCGTCGAGGGTGAGTCCAGGGTAGCCAAAAGAGGAACACTCAAGAGAGAAGCCAATAGCTTAAATCACAAGTTGACCCACAGATACAAGAATCCATATTGCGACTCATGCATTCGAGCAAAGATGAAGCACTTCAAGACTCGTCGTGGTGCATACAAAAGGGAACTCAAGAAGTTTGGCGACCTCATTACCTTTGATGCAGTGGACACATCCAAAGTCCATGATGACGTATTGGTCCTCGAGAAGGAAGTGTTGGTTGTCAGAGACTGTTTTACAGGGATCATTGGTGCTTATCCATCTGATCGAATGACCAAGGACGATGTGGTCAGAGCAGTGAAACAGTTCATCGGCGCCAAGAAGGTCAGACAGGCCTACTCTGATCATGCTCCTCAATTCATTGAAGCTATGAACGAGATGAAGATCCCAATTGATCATTCGTTGCCTGGGAGACCTCAAACCAATTCAATCGCCGAAAGGACGAACCAATTTATTCTCACAGCTACTTCTACATGTCTTTTGGAAGCTGGATTACCACCTTGTTTCTGGAGAACAGCAATCCTTTGTGTATGTCATCTACTCAACGTAGAACCCAACGATGATGAATTGAGCGCTTGGTGCAAACTCCATGGATCTGAATTTGCTGGCAAACTCATTCCCTATGGTGCTCGTGTGAACTACAAGCCTCCGAAGACCAGAGAAGCAGGACAACTTCATAAGTTCGGACCTGACTCTATTCCAGGAGTGTTTGCAGGATATCACATTGGTCCAGGGATGCATTGGTCAAGACAATACAAAGTATGGCCTCTGAGTGAATTCGTACATCAGAATCTTGGTGACGATGCTAGCAAACCTGAACACCGTCTTCTCAAACCTCATTTGACCGAGAAGGTCGAGATGGTCACTCCATTGACATTTCCATGCAAGAAAGAATATGAGAGGGTGAACACCACATTGGAAGGAATGAAAGAAAGAGAAATCCTCGATGGCGATCCCTCCAAAGTGCCTCATGGAGACGGTGAAGAACATGACCATGACGAAGACGATGACGAGCTTGATGATGGAGATGACGGTGGACCTGGACCAAGTGGTGGAAAAATTTCAAAGAAGCCTCTTGATGACTCCGAGGATATCTTCGACAAAGACAAAGATCCAGAAGAGATGACTCTCCAGGAGCTTATCGACGCACAGCCAGACCATTGGAAGTCGGGCAAAGCTGGAGATGGGAAGATATACCTCAATGACGATGGTGAGAAGGTCAAGTTGAACGTCAAGGGTTACCCATACAAGATTGGAGATGACGGTAGACGAATGTTCAAAACGTCATTGCGTCCCAAAGGGACCTATTCTCCTGAAGAATGGCGCAAACTCTCTCAGCCCGACCGGAACACCATCCTCAAAGCCGAGAAGAAGAAGTTGGAGAAGAAAGAGGCCGATGACAAAGCCAAAAGATTGGTCGAAGAAAAGAAGAAGAAAGCAATGAAGAAGGGGAAGAAAGATTCAAAGAAAGACAAGGACGAGCCGAAGTCCAAGGACGATGAAGGTGGTGATGAAAGTAAGAAGGATGACTCTCATTCAAAGTCGAAGAAATCTGATGCAGGTGTTGGTGAAGTTGTGAAGAACAAAGTTACCTTACCTATCACATGTACAAGTACGTATCTTGATCTGTACGACATAGTCGATGATGACGACGTACATGGAAGACGATACATTGATTGTCGAAAAGTGAAGAGGAATGCTGATGCTAGTCCATGTTCCAATGCCTCTACTGACGTCCCGGACGATGAGGAATACCTCACTGAATGGGATGAATGGTCG